TGTCATGTTATGAGGTTCATTTATCAGGAAAACTTATTAGTGAGAATTATTTCATGTTTTTTTTTTGTTTGTTTGCTTCTTGGGACAGGGTTAAACTTTCATGTTTAGAAAAGACTGAAGATATATAATGATGTCATGTTATGAGGTTCATTTATCAGGAAAACTTATTAGTGAGAATTATTTCATGTTTTTTTTTTGTTTGTTTGCTTCTCGGGACAGGGTTAAACTTTCATGTTTAGAAAAGACTGAAGATATATAATGATGTCATGTTATGAGGTTCATTTATCAGGAAAACTTATTAGAGAGAAATATTTCATGCTTTTTTTTTTGTTTGTTTGCTTCTCGGGACAGGGTTAAACTTTCATGTTTAGAAAAGACTGAAGATATATAATGATGTCATGTTATGAGGTTCATTTATCAGGAAAACTTATTAGAGAGAAATATTTCATGCTTTTTTTTTGTTTGCTTGCTTCTTGGGACAGGGTTAAACTTTCATGGTAATTCACACAAAATCTTTAGATCACAAAAAATAAAATATAGAATTATAGCATGAGGGAGCTAGCCATGTAACCACCTAAACTGTAATGGGTCCCTACTTCATCCCTACTTTGATCTGACCAAATTGAAGGGTGATCTAGTTTTAAAAATTGATACTTAAGTTTCTTTCATTTTTATTTTGTTACAGTATCTCAGAAGGAGAATGGAGACCAGAGGACAAGGCACGTAACTTTATAACTAAAGAAGAAAGTCGAGTTGAACTTCTTCGGGGGAATGTAACCCTGGGAAGTCCACATTTGTTACAGCACTACAAAAATTACCATGAAAGGGTAAAGTATGATATTTGTGATGTATTTATCATGTCATTAGAGCTAACTCACATTTGTGAAACATAATAACATTACACAAGGGATATGACACAATAGTGTAATATTATGGTTTGAATCTTAAATTTGTTATTGTAACATTTGTAAATAAATCATAAGTGAAGCATAATTATTTTTAATTCCTTGTCTTTAAACACCGATAACATAGTACTTTTCTCTGCACATGTGTGGTTGATAGACAAACCAAAGATTTTCATCATCATATATGCTATTAAAAATTTCAATCTCTTCTCTGCTAATAACATTTAGTTAAGGTTATTCATACACCCTCCCAGAGGGTACTTGTAATGTTTTTGGAATATCTCATTCGTTGATGAAAATATTTCAGTAAAATTTGGCAATCTAACAAACAAAAAATTGAAGCTTTTTTTCTGGTCCAACAGTTTTTGAAATCTTTTAATAAATGGTAAAAGTTTAGTTTTAATTGAAGTTTAATAAAAAACAAACAAACAGTGATTAATTTTATTATCAACAAAATTATGTTAAATAACTTATAGCTGTCCCAAAACATTTACTAATTTGGGTATTGTGGTAGTAACCATATGCGTACAGGGTTTCTCCACTGGGCAGAACCAGTTTTCTGAAGAAATACTGACTATGATTCCAAATTTGCTACATTTATCTAAATGAAGTGTGGCAAACTTTTAATAAAATGTACAAATCTTCTGTACACACAAAAATTAGATGTGTTGCAGTCAATCTGACTCAGACTCTGATGTTCATGTGAACAATAAGAT